TCGCGCCCCCTAGCCCGGGTCGAATGAGCTCTTCTTTCTGCCTCTCCTCCAACCCCTCCACCCATTCAAATTCACCCTCTATCAAAAACCTTTTCTTATTGAGGCAATAGCCAGCACACCGGCCGTGCCATCCTCAGACTGCCGCACCCCTGCCACAGAAGGGCACAGCATACCTGCTGATGTTGGGTTTTGGACGTGGCACCGCTGGCTGCTGCTTGGCCGGAGCCCTGACTGGCACTTCCAAACCACGGCCTGCAAAGGAAGAAAGACATTTTACTCTCCTGCCAAAGGCTCCACTCTAGGGACAGGGGTCCCGTGGGCCCTCCCCAAAGATTTTCTTCTGGGGCAGATTGCCCTCCATATTTTCTCTCCCCACAGCCACATCAGGGGGCAGCCAGCCAGCGGAGGGACGTAGGGGCAGGTGGGAGGGTGAAGGCTGCTCCCTGCAAGGCCCTTTCCACCTGTAAACCGCTTTGAGATTTTTATTAAAAAATATAAAGCGGTATAGAAATATAAATAAATAAATATGTGGGAAACAAATTCCCCAAGGAATTAACATACCACAATCTCCAGGGAGATTTGTTTATGCTGATGCCTTCCTTTCTGAGAACCTGTGAGACAGAAAGGAAAATAAAAACAGAGGAAGTTACCAACCAGTACCGTATTTTTCGCACCATAGGACGCACCGGACAATAGGACGCACCTTGTTTTAGAGGGGGAAGAACAAGAAAAAAAATTCTCCCCCTCTCTGCCCAGCGCCCCTTCAGTGAAGCGGCAGGAGGCGCTGCGCAGAGAGGGGGAGAATTTTCCCCCTCTTGTTTCCCCGCTCTAAAACAAGGTGCCGTTCAGGCGGCTTACCTTGGAAACCTGGAGAGCGAGAGGGGTCAGTGTGCACCGACCCCTCTCCCTCTCCAGGCTTCAGGTTCCTTTCGACCTGCTCTTTGGGGCTGGCAGGGGAAGCCCACCACCAGCCCCAAAGAGCAGGTCAGGGAGCAGCGGAAAGGCGCAGCGGAGAGGCTGCTGCCATAGTCGCGCGTCACCTTTCCAGCTGGGAGAGGGTCGCGGGGCTATGGCTTCTTCGCTCCATAGGACGCACACACATTTCCCCTTCATTTTTGAAGGGGAAAAAGTGTGTCCTATAGAGCGAAAAATACGGTAATTCACAGCAGAAAATATCCTGCCCACAGCCAGCCCTGGCTGGGCTCCAAACTCCAACCATCTTCCTTACCAGCCAGATGCACTGACCCCTTTCAATTCTGCCTGGGCTGGAGAAAGGGGACAGAGAAGCGTTTTGCTCTCTGTCCCTCAGGACATGGATATGAGAGCCACACCATGCAGCCCTGACAATATCTCAAGGGCCGTCACAGGGAGGAAGGAGAAAGATTGTTTTCTCCTGCTCCAGAGGCCCTTCAGGACCTGAAGCCGTGGATTCAAGCTACAATAAGGAGATTCTGACTCAACTTCAAGAAAAGCTTTCTGACAGCAAGAGCTGTTTGACAGTGGGAAGAAATCCCTCAGGAGGCAGAAGACTCTCCTTCCTTGGAGGTTCTTCAGCTGAGGTGGGATGGCCATCTGCCATGGATGCTTTAGCTGGGGGTTGGTCTAGATGACCCTTGGGGTCCCTCCCAACTCTACAATTCTATAATCCTATGGGGTTCCAGGTTCTTACCTTTGCGAAGGTCAGCCATAGCAGTGTAACTCAGTAACTCAGTTCACAGTAGTGGGGCAGAGTTATGCTATTAAAGCGAGTCTGAATGTTGGGGGGGAGGCAGTTGAGAGTTGGTTGAGAGTGGTGGGTTCTAGAAGGGGGGGGCAAGGGACGGCTTCTGATTGGCTGCAGGAGCTTCCTGCTCTCAGAAGGAAGCCATGTCAGATGTTGGGCTTCCAAAGAACATCTGCAAGCCGGACACTCACTTATAATTATTTTATTTGTTGAATTTATATTTCACCCTTTCTCCCGAAGGAGGCCAGAATGACATGGGATGTGGGTCTATTCTGGGCAGTTTCCCGTAGATATGACACAGCTGAGGTGCAACTGGGAACATTGTTTGAATAAAAACCACTGACTTCAAAGTGCCAAAACTTACCTGCTTCTTTAGATGTGTGTCAGCAATGCAGACAATATTGGCTAGATTTCTTATTCTGTTGGATTGCTGCTGGATTCCGGCTTCCTCACATGTAAATGTGGCAGACACACTTAAAGAACAAATACTGTTGCTTCCATCATGCCTACTTGGACCCATCAACCCTTACATCCGTGCCCTATTTTGCATGCTGAAATAATTCAATAAATACAGACAACAGCAACAACTGTGGGGCTGTGAAAAATTCACTCTGTGTGTTTTTCTCTTATATTGTTAGTTGCAGAAGAAGAGGGTGGGGCTCTTCGTCTCCCTGCCCATCCCTTTCCCCACAGAAGCAGCCTTCCGCTTTCCTTTCACTTGGCTGAATCAGGCCCCACAGGTTTAATCAGATGTGCATCCAAGGGCCAATTCTGACTATCTGTACTATCTGCACCCAGTTTACTGCACTGTCCTCTAAGGAGGCCTTTCCCAGCCACTGTCCTCTTTTCCAAAGAGCGTTGTTGGTAGCGATGGCCTTGGCTATCCATGCCAATGAGCCTTTGATAGGATGTCCATCACTTAGGAGTCCCAACGAGAGCAGAGCAGAAGGGGTGCTGCTGCCGCTATGGAGCTTGTGGCAGAGCTTAGGCTCTTCACTCTTCCTTTAGCATCATAGGATTGTGGAGCTGGGAGGGGCCACAAGGACAATCCAGCCCCCTGCAATGCAGGAATCTTTCAACCAAAGTGGGGCTCAAACCCACGACCCTGAGGTTAAGAGTCAGGCTCTCCTGGCTGAGCCATAATTGGTGGTCAGCCTTAAATCTCGGCCTCTCTGGCAGTGAGGAGCATTGCCCCCCTTTGCCACATTTGGGGGTGTTTTTGGAAGAAGCTGGAGGCCACCCCGGTATACTCTCCCATATTACATATTTAAGGTTACATGTTATCTTTATCATCCCCATTCTATAAATCAGAGCTTCCTAATCTTAAACACAATACAGTGCATAGCTGTCAAGTGTCCCTTTTTCCAGCGCCATGTCCCACTGCTGTCCCTTATTGATGGATGTCCCTTAAATGTCCCTTAAATGATGTCCCTTAAATTTCAAAGGAAGCAGCTCCTCTCCCTCCCTCCCAGCCAGGGAGGAGGGAGGCTCCAGCTGTGTTGCTTGGCTGTGTTGCTCACCTAATAAGAAGTCTAAGAACGACTGGGTGGTGGAGCTTTCATGCCTTGTGTGTGGCTAGTTAATGCAAGCTGAGGGGTTTTTTGAATGCTGGACGCCATTTTGTTGCACATGCTGCTGCAAACTTTGCAGTGCAAAGCCAGGCCGGGGAGCCATCTTAAATTGAGGCTGCATAGGCCTTGTGGTGCATGTGATTCAGATTCTATTCAGTTGAACCTCTGGTTACAAAGTTGGTTGGACAGTGTTCTCGAAGCTACCAGCATGAGTCTGACCAGACTGCAGGAGGACAGGAAGACTGGAGTGCCTGGAACAGGTGAGGCTGCAGGTCCCTTATTTGGGCTGCAGGTCCCTTATTTTCAAGGCTGCTGGTCCCTTATTTTCAAATCTGTAAGTTGACAGCTATGATACAGTGGTACCTCAGGTTAAGTACTTAATTCGTTCCAGAGGTCCGTTCTTAACCTGAAACTGTTCTTATCCTGAAGCACCACTTTGGCTAATGGGGTCTCCTGCTGCTGTTGCGCCACTGCTGCACGATTTCTGTTCTCATCCTGAAGCAAAGTTCTCAACCTGAAGCAATATTTCTGGGTTAGCGGAGTCTGTAACCTGAAGTGTATGTAACCTGAGGTACCACTGTATATCCGGAATAAGGTCTTGGGGCTTACTTGCATATGAAAAGATTTCAACCCAAAGATATTGGAAGTAATAATAACTACCCACTTAGAACTGTCATTTTAATATTCCATCATCCCTTTTTTCCCTTTATTAGTATTCTTCTGGAGACTGGAGGGTTCTGCCTCAGAACATACAGGTTGATTCTGTGACAGACCAGAACCAAAATGTAACTGTCAGTATGTTGTTTCTATGTTGCACACTACTTGGAGATTTAAAAAATATTAAGAAGTTTATATAGTGGTACCTCGGGTTACAGATGCTTCAGGTTACAGACGCTTCAGGTTACAGACTCCGCTAACCCAGAACTAGTACCTCGGGTTAAGAACTTTGCTTCAGGATGAGAACAGAAATCGTGCAGTGGTAGCGCAGCGGCAGCGGGAGGCCCCATTAGCTAAAGTGGTGCTTCAGGTTAAGAACAGTTTCAGGTTAAGAACAGACCTCCAGAACGAATTAAGTTCTTAACCCGAGGTACCACTGTAAATGCTTTTAAATATATTTAAATAAATAAATATGTGGCATAAATGCTACAGAAAACTCTTTTGGCTTTTAGCATTTAGGTGAAGTTTGTGAGTTGTTTTTTTATAGCTGTGTTCAGTATTCCTTGTCTGTCTGTGTTAGCACTGTGTTGTGTTGTGAATACACTGCACACAGTCCTGTACTGTATTATCATAGGCAGTCAGCTCCACAATTATGTTTTTTTTCTGACAGTCTTATTATTCATCGTTTCCAACAGCCAGCAAGCAATACAACAACCTAGATTTGTGGCAGACAATTTTATTCTCTACTCACTGTAAAAAAATATACCGGTATACTACTATTATTGCCACCCAAACCTTGTGGGCGTATTAACCAGCCTTCTGACTGATGCACAAATTGGGGTTCGGCTTTTGCTGCCTAACTCTCCATGGGACTCTGAGACCCCTAAGTCCATGATGCAATGCAATCATAACTCTGCTACATGCCTGTGCCCAGGGCCAGATTTAGATTTGATGAGGCTGCAAGCTACTGAAGGTAATGGGGCCCTTTATATGTCCATCTGTCTTTTGTCAACAACAAATTGTCGCTGTTTTTTGTGTTGAATATGTGCTATATGGTGATTTATGGACCTAATAGGTATCTAAAGCCATTTGCACATAACAAAATATGTATTTGATCAAAGTAATTGTTGAACTGAAATACAATTAAGAAGAAGTATATTAATAGTGAAATTTTTGGGGGGCCCCCAAGAGAGTGGGGCCCTAAGCTATAGCTTGTTTAGCTTATATGTAAAACCAACACTTGCTAGTGTATTCATGGGGGTGGAGAGTGGAGGAGAGAATGAATGAGATGGATCTTGCTGTTTTACTGCATGCCTGAATCTCTGTGCTTCTGCAAGCAAGGAAGATAGACCTGTCAAGTTCTCCTGAGACCAAGAATTCCAAAGCATTGGGGCCACCACTGAAAATGCCCTGCCCTGATTCCTTATTGACTTGTACCAAACATGGAATGCAGGGCAGTATTTTGACACTGTATCTCATGGGGATAGTCACAAAAGGACCATTAAAGGAACGTCAAATACTGTCTTATACAGAAGACAGTGAGGCATCTGATCAAGATCTGTATTATGAGGCATCTGATCAAGATCTGCATTTTAAAATGAGCTTAAAAAAATATATTTGCAGATGCTTGTGTGCAGAAGACCAGCTGGCTAAAAAGACTTTGGCAGATGTTTATCTTCCTGTTCAAGGGCCCCACTGATTTATTGCAGGAGACGAGTACTTCAGGGTTGTAAAAGGAAATTACAGGCTAGGAGCAAAAGGTCATATTGACCATACAAATTACAGAATACAATCAAGCTGCTAAAACACAATTAAGAGTTGGTAAATAGTAAGAATTATTGTGCCTCCCATTAAAACTTGAGCCACATTTTCATAAGGTTAAAAGGGCAAATAGAAACAGCAGCTGGACTAGGCAAAGCAGCTCTCTGAAACTGCTTTGAGAATTTAGCTTAGTTTTTACTAAGTTCCTTTCCTTCTAAAAAGCTATATATGTTAATGTATGAAATATATTGGCTTAAATGTAATTATGCAAAGGATTTAGAAAGTAAGAAATGTTAGATTCTTATGTTAGATTCTTATTTCATAGATGGTGTGTGAGAAGGTGAACCCAAGATCTCTTTAAAATGAAATTAAAAACCATGCACCATCTGCTTTAACCATCTGTTTTGCAGTGAATAGGGCAACAGGGGCCAAAGGTTATCTGGTAATTAAGGTGCCTTGTCGAGGCAAATGTAAGATATATGGCTACTTGTCTGCCATTTATGGATAGAAGGAAATATAGCTCTTTGTCTCCCATAAAAGGTAATAGGAAATGGGTGTATCTTTTATGATTGGTTCTAGCAAACAGCCAATAGGAATTTCAACCAGGCTGATTGGACAGAGGCAGCCAAAGGAGGAGCAAGGGGGCTGGGCTGAGGGAATATAAGTGCTGGCCGTCAGGGCTGGAGTGGGCAGAGCTTTGGTAACCATATACCACTGTGTCTCTCGTTTATTTGTCTGACAAATAAATTATTATTTTAATTTCTCTATTGCTGCGTTGAATATTTCATTCCAGCTAAGCGTTAACCACAAGCAGGTGCTACAACAGCTCGGTATTGCCTGCGTGGGCTGCTGGCCTAGCTTTGAGACCGGGCTCTCTCGCAGGTCTACCAGATTTAACCTGGGAGATTGCTCTACTACAGAGATGCAATCTTCACTATCCGTGTATTGTATTTGCTGCAGTAGTGAAGGGAGGAGTATTTATGCCCATGTTGAGATGGTGCGATTTAACTTTATTTGGTCTTTTTCAAATAGCAAAACCAAATGATAGTTTGTTAATGAGCCTTGATCCTTTTATTTAATTTATAAAAAATTGAGCTGTATTCTGAGCAGTGCAGCCATGCCATTTACAGCATAAAAGCTGCAGCCATTGATTCTTTTTCTGCATCACTATTGCATTTCTTTTACATTACTACCTTATTATGCTGCATTTTCTGGATCTTTATTTTTATAGAATAATCTCAAAATGGGGGGAGTAACCCTAAAGCGAACCATTATGGATACCCAGTGGGGTGTGTGTGTGTGTGTGTGTGTGTGTGTGTGTTTAGGGGTACTCTCAATTTGACTCAAGAAAATCACAATTTTATAGTTCAAATCAGGGGAAATAAATACAGTAAATGGACAAAAGTACAAAGAACATTCATTACACTGGGAAAGGAAGTGAAGTAGCTATTGGCTGTGGTAACAACGAAACTGACCAATCACCATGCTAGATTCCAACTCCTACTTCACACATTAAACGCTCGCTTCTGTCTGAGACTCAGGAAACACCGTGAGAGGAAATGAGGCTGCCATCGAGGGTAGCAGAAAAAAGCACTGTGAATACCTACAACTCTCCTCTCTCCACTGCTGAATGGAGGGTTGTTAAGGCTGGCTTCAGCTGAGCATTGCTATAATAATAAATTATTATTAATTCCCCGCCCATCCGGCTGGGTTTCCCCAGCCACTCTGGGCAGCTCCCAGCAGAATATTAAAAACATGATAAAACACCAAACATTAAAACCTTCTCTAGACAGCTGAAAATGCTTAGCACTTTTGGAAGCAAATTCCATAGAGGAGCACACAACAATGGCTGCGTCCCAAGAGGAACTATTCTGTTTTCGTCTTCATAATGATCCGAACACGTTTCCGACAATACAATAAGCAGCATAAACAGCATTTGACAGCAATGAATGTGAAGACTGCCATGCAACCGATCAAGAAGGCAATGGCATCCAGGGAGTGATATTGGTACCAGGTCAAGTGATGGGCAGCTACTCTCAAGTGCTTGGCACCTTTGTGGCGCATGACAAACTCAATCCAAAAAACAGCCCGGTCCAGTGGCTTTAACAGTTGGTCATGGTGGATCTGTGATAGCCTTAACGCATTTTCCTTATATCTGGAGGAAAGGAAGGTGGGGGAGAGAAATAAAAACAAAATGAGATAGGCAGAGGCGTAGGAACGTCAGGTGGTACCCAGTACGGAAAATTTATTGTCACCCCCCCACACACGTTGATTTATATACCATATTTTTCGCTCTATAAGACGCACCATACCACAAGATGCACCTAGTTTTTGGAGGAGGAAAACAAGAAAAAAAATATTCTGAATCTCAGAAGCCAGAACAGCAAGAGGGATCGCTGCGCAGTGAAAGCAGCAATGCCTCTTGCTGTTCTGGCTTCTGGGATAGCTGCGCAGCCTGCATTCGCTCCATAAGACGCACACACATTTCCCCTTACTTTTTAGGAGGGGAAAAGTGAGTCTTATAGAGCAAAAAATACGGTATTTTTTTGGCCTGCAAAAATGGTTTTATGTTATTTCATATTTTCTTACAAAGGAATAATAATTAATAATAATAATAAATTTTTATTTATATCCCGCCCTCCCCGACCGAAGTCGGGCTGAGGGTGGATAACATCAGATACGTAACACTGGTATAAAATCAAACAATAATTAAATTACCTGCTAAAAACAAGTCAAAATCAAATTAAAGTCTTATTAGACGGCTTTCCGCAGGGTTAGGGCTGGGAACAGTAAGTGCTCCACTGAATTGAAATTTCAGCCTTCAAAACATAGGAAAAATGGCCAAGTAAACAGCTATTTTCGTGGAGGAGGGTCAAGATATTAACTGATATGCATGAAATTTCATATATAGATATATAATCCCTAGTGTAGTAAGATAAGACCTTTGGAGCAGGCATTTTTCAAAAAAGTTTTTTTTTATGAACCGCCCTAGTAGGGCACTAATTGTTCCTTGATAATTTGTCACCCCCCTCCATGATGGCCCCCGTTCCCGCCCCCCCTTCCTACGTCCCTGGAGATAGGACCAGAACTCAATTTTTGATTGCACTTTAGCAAGCACTGTAGCATTAAAGTCCTTGATGATTACCCCCAAGATTAAAAACAGCTTTTAAAATCAGCACATTTATTATGTCATCATGATCAATTGGTTAGCCTTTTGTTGCAACGCACTCACATGGGCACACCTCCGGAAGTTGTTAAGCAGCATTAAAACTTGCCTACTGTTTTCCATTCAAGATCCAAAAGTGACTGATTGCTAATGTTGCAGCTGCTTAACTGAAGGCAATATCCTGCCCAGATTAATATTTCAGAAATATTGCAACAAAGCCTGTTGGTAAGCAGGAGCAATGGGTCCTGCTGGACCTGGCAGGGCTGCTAAGGAGTCATAGGGGTGTGGACAATGAGGTCCCAGGGGCCTAACCAGTTGTGGTTTTCTCCCCATCCTTCTGCCTTGCAAAGATATTGTGGACACCTAAGTATTTCTACAACTGCAATGCTTAGGTAAAGGTAAAAGGACCCCTGACCATTAGGTCCAGTCGTGACCGACTCTGGGGTTGCGGCGCTCATCTCGCTTTATTGGCCGAGGGAGCCGACGTACAGCTTCCGGGTCATGTGGCCAGCATGACTAAGCCGCTTCTGGCGAACCAGAGCAGCGCACAGAATTTATCCTTACAGCAACCCTGTAAAGTAGACTGCAATGCAATTCTAGGAAATTTTGCAATTCTAGCAAAACAACAACGGGCGCAGTGCTAAGGAGCAATACTCTTCCATAATCAGCTTTTGACACTTGGCATGGTTTCTGCCCATTTCCACAGTAAAGCTGCCATACACCTGGCCCTGAAGCAATCTCACATGCATTCTGCAGACTAATGGAGACCACTAGTCATGTCTCACTTTCAGAGGAGAGTTTGCGGTTGACTCACGTGGCGTTGAGAATGACAGCCTTCACTGCATGCACTAAATCTTCGGCTTCCATTGTCTGGATGTCCAGGCCCACGGCCATCCCCTTTGCCTTCATGTGCTGAATATTGTCGGGCTGGTCAGCAAACATGGGAATCCCCACTGTGGGAACGCCATGGTAAATTGCTTCATAAATCCCATTGATCCCACCATGTGTTATGAAGGCTTTGGTCTTGGGGTGTCCTGGAAGGAGAAGATGAGACTCTGTTGACTATGGGATGATAAAAGTAGGTTATTAGCATTGATTCTCAGCAGCAGTGCCCAGCATAGTCCAGCTGTCAGGCAATCTCTGAAGATTGCAGTTCACTATACATATTAATGTTTCTAGAACTCAACACTGACCCTGGCCTCAATCTCTGAAGATTGCAGTTCACTATACATATTAATGTTTCTAGAACTCAACACTGACCCTGTGTAAAACACAGCAACAGCTTTGTAAAACAGAGAGAGTTTGTAGTCCCTGATATCCTGAATAGTGGAAAATGCAAAGTACCAAAAATTTAGCACTGTCTGGGGGCTTGGTTTTCCCTGGGGTGTACCCCATGTGTTTCCCCTGCCTCTTCCTGTTATGGGGATGGTTGCTAAACATCGGACTCCCCACTATAGGAATACCATGATAAATAGGTTCATAAATTCCACTAGTTCCACCATGTGTTAGAAAAGCTTTGGTATTGGGGTGTCCTGGAGAAGGAAGAGGAAAATTTACTCGATATGAAATGGTTAAATTATAATTGATCTCCAGCTATAGCATTCCAGCTTAGTCCACATGCCATGCTATCCCTGAATGTTGCATATAGATATATCCTCAACAAGGAAGCAGGCAACACAGAACACAGGAGCACAGTAAACTTGCTGGTTGGGCTAGAAAGCACTACAGTTTTATGATACTACTGAAGTGTAGATGGGTTCCCACAAGGCAAGGCAAAGTGATAACTGCAGGAACCTTTATTGAACTAACAGAACTGGACAACAGGAGCAGAGCAACTGCTAATATACAGTGGTACTTCGGGTTACATACGCGTTAGGTTACAGACTCCTCTAACCCAGAAATAGTACCTTGGGTTAAGAACTTTGCTCCAGGATGAGAACAGAAATTGTGCTCCGGCAGCGCAGCGGCAGCAGGAGGCCCCATTGGCTAAAGTGGTGCTTCAGGTTAAGAACAGTTTCAGGTTAAGAACGGACCTCCGGAACGAATTAAGTACTTAACCCGAGGTACCACTGTACATTTCTGAATGTCTGGGCCACTCCTAATGTGATTGGTTGTCTAAACTTCTAAGCTGCGAATCATAACTCAGAGTTTCAGGGCCAATGGCAGTGGCCAAATCCTGAAATGTTCTGTGGTTGGATTATCATGTGTCGAATCAGGACACAGGGGCTCAGAATTCCTAGTCCGGACTCAAGCTCAGGCAAACACTGGATACATGACAACTACCATTGTGTGATCAGGAATGGATCAGAATAGAGCAAGGGGAGAATGCTCATTGCTGTCATGAGTGAGGAATATGGGGGTGGAGGAAAGATATTTCCTAGGGATTGGAAGAACACAGCAATGAAGCCATATAACTGCAACAAGCATGAGGTCTCTCTCACCAAGAAGATCATTTTGTGGTATCCAGTCATAAATCCTGGTGTTGGCACCTAAAGTTTCTGGTATTTTCCCTTTGTGGCGCCAAAGAACCTGGATTAGAAAATAAGAGGAAAGCTTCCATGACTCCTACATTCATAATGTACGGGTAAAATTGAAGAAAACAAATAAACTAAAAGTTATCCAGAGCAAATTCCATTGTCCATCTTCTTCTCTATGAATTATAATTAACTCTTACAACATTTACAGTGGATGCTCGGGTTGCGAACGTGATCTGTGCGGAAGGCACGTTTGCAACCCGCAATGCCGCATCTGCGCACATGCAGGTTGCAATTCGGCACTTCTGCGCATGCGCAAAATGTGATTTAGCGCTTCTGCGCATGCGCGACCGCCGAAACCCAGAAGTAACCCATTCCAGTACTTCCGGGTTTCGGCGGGTCCGTAACCTGAGGTAGGACTGTAATAGACAAGGATAGCTTCAACGTCTAACACAACTCTAATGTATTTAAGTAGATTTCAAAAAAAGAAAATCTTTAATGTGTTTGCAGTAAAGGGATGCAATGTCACAGGTCAGTTAAGGGAATTGGGGCAGCATTTTCACAAGTCCACTATACAACTTTTTGTTTTCTTTACCAAACAACACTGACCTTCTGTGGAAGCTGGCTAAGTGCCGATGCAACGATGTTACTCTTTTCATCCGTTAAGTTTGCAACAAGAGAGCCCAGAGAAAACACCACAATGCCATGTTCCCCTGAACTCTGGACAAATTCTTCCATTTCCTGTCAAAAGTTCATATTTAAAAATAAATATATTGACAAGTCACATTCCTCCATGTCTTTGCTGTTTGAACCTGATGCATGAGTAGCAATGTGAATATTTTTCTTGATATTTAATGTTGTGAGGGAGTGTTTGGGAAATGATCTTTAAGTTCCAGCTTCCAAACTGTGCTTTAGGCTCCATGGAAGCCTATTAGAGTTCTAAAGGTAAAAGGTAAAGGACCCCTGGACGGTTAAGTCCAGTCAAAGGTGACTATGGGGTGCGGCACTCATCTCGCTTTCAGGCTGAGGGAGCTGGTGTTTGTCCACAGAGAGCTTTCCAAGTCATGTGGCCAGCATGACTAAACCACTTCTGGCGCAACGTAACACCGTGACAAGTGCCAGAGTGCACAGAAATGCCGGTTACCTTCCTGCCACATTGGTACCTATTTATCTACTTGCACCGTTGTGCTTTCAAACTGCTATGTTGGCAGGAGCTGGGACAGAGCAACGGGAGCTCACCCCATCGTGGGGATTTGAACCGCCGACCTTCCAATTGGCAAGCCCAAGAGACTCAGTGGTTTAGACCACAGCGCCACCCAGAGAGCAGAGTTTACAACAGACCAAGTCACTGGTCACTCCAGCTGCAGACACCTTTTCTCCACTTTTTCACCTGTGCTTTTCACATCAGCCTGAAAAGCAGAAAATTAAGCAGGCCAAGTTCTTCCTGGCACAACTATATCAGTGATGCTAAGCTCATCCACTACATTTGCTACACTTCTCAAAACGTATAATTCACCCAGCAAGAACAATGAGACCTTCTCTCAAGAAAGCACGCCTAAGTGAAATTTGGTTTCAGAATTACCTCTGGCAAAGGCTTGGCTGGCTGACACTGCAGACCCCCTACAAACTCAAAATTTGGTAGGAGAGGCCGTGGGAATTCAAGGTCCCAGTAGGTACGGATCAACCAGATTTCCGCTTTCCCCATCACTTCACACTGAGTTGTGGGTCTTCCTGTCGAATGAGAAAGAGGAACGAGGTTACATTCAGCTTGTCTCTCCTTCACTTTTTCAACATTTCCACAAATAGTGAAAGCTGGTTCACACATTACATTTCAACTGGACACCTAAAAAAAAAGTATGAGATGTGAACAGGAACTGGGGACAGAAAGAAATACATGTATTATGAGCACTCATTCATTAGCAAGCCTGGACTGGCTATGGCTCCTTGATGGATATTCTTTCAGGGGTAAGTCCAAGTTTTCTCTTCCATAATGTTAGAAAGAACCAATTGGCCTGAAGTCAGCATTGGTAGCTGAATGTGCACCAGAACTAGTGACAATCTATTGACAAACCAGGCCATTGGTTCAGTTCTTGTTACTGAATTCTGCAAAGAACACTGTGCAGATACTATCTGTTGCAGCTTTTGGTTCCTTCAGTTTCCTTGATTTTCTTTCCCCCTCAATATTACTGATGCATTGATAACACATCTTCCCCTCAAAACATCAACAACAGTGTGGTGGTGATCACTCATACAGCTGTATGAAGATTATCTTCATGTGGTATCTTCCCAATGTGCAGGAGCTAAGGAAAGGTCAATTGTGGCTGCTCTCAGTTTCTTTCTTCCACAATAAATTGTCCACATTAGTGCATTAAAACGTCATTCATTTAAAAAGTTTTCACAAAAAAGTGTCACTCCTAACAGACATATTTTTGTATGCACTTTTGCATATTATACACATCTTTGCAAGCAGTTTTCCCAAATATACGAAGCTATTCTCACAAATGTATGCATTTCCCTGCATGCTTCACATAACTTACACATTTTTGTACATTTTTTTTTTTTTGGTCGATTGAACTGCATTGCAAAATTCAGGTAACTCCAGTTTCGAAGCATACTTGTGTGTCTGTCACTCCGGGAAGTGGAATTTACATAGGTTTACAATATCAGATCAAGTTTCTCTGCCATCCATTGAAATAAAACACATCAGTAAAATATTGCACAGAAGGATCCTGATGAAATAATAGATAGAACTACATAAAAGTTGCTTGCTCATCATTTGTTGAGTGGTGGAAATGAGCAGAAAATCCCAGAATAATGTCTGTGCTTCAACTCCAAAGCTAATTTTAGATATCATTCTAGTTCAATTTGAGCTCAGGGGGAGTTGTACAGAAGGCAGAGCAACTGGGTGAAGCCATAAAAGAACAAAGCAGGTAAGATCGACTCCTCACTCCCTTACAGATGATCAGGCTCTAAAGCTTAGTAGAGTCTATTTCCAGCTGACCGTGGCTCTACACAGGCCCAGGATGAGGCCTTTCCAATCCTGCTACTTGGAGGCCCTTTCTAACTGGCCGTGCCAAGGACTGAAGTTGGAATCCTTGACCTCTTTAGAGCATCTACTCTACCAAATAATAACAATACTTTGGGAAGAAGAAACAAAAACAGGCTTACCTAAAACCTGACTGTAATAAGAGTCCCAATCTCCATACCAGGTCTGGAAAACATGGTCTTGCACGAGGTAAGATATTATATTCTTCACCCTTTCTCCAAATGACATTTTGTCCGTGAGCCCAGACAAGACAGCCGGGGCATAGGAAGGAGGGGCAGGTATCTTGCCACAGTGTCTCTCCACTGTCAAGCCTGGCGTGAACTGCAGGGTGTACACAAACGGGATGTCCATTTTCACAGCAATCAGGTCGCCACAGGGTGTCGCAGGGTCTGCAAGGAGCACGTCATAGTTGCTCTTTTTCAGGCGGGCCATGAGTTCCTGATCGGCCAGCACATTTTCACACTTGAACTTATGGAACTCATGTACTTTCCTCATCATCTTTCGCATCTCTTGGTAGAACCTGTAGAAGGTCAGAGCAGTTGGCTTGTGGTCCAGCAGCAACGTGACGAATTCCTCAAAGAACGACTGGGCCTCATCCTTTCCATAGGGCACAGGGAACACCTCAAACTTGGCAGCTGATATATCTTCACTGGGTTCGATTAAGATGGACGCTGATGGGGCTAGGATGCTGACATTGTGACCTCTATGCAGCAGTTCCTGGATAATGACCTTGATATTCAGCCAGTGGCTGGCATCCTCTGGCCAGATAAGCACATTCCCACAGAAAATGTTTCCTACTAAGGCAAGCTGAAGTATTAACAATTGAATTGCAACCGCTCTTGCTGAGGTGGGGGCCATGATGTGCTTTTCTGGGAAAGCTAAAGATTCGTCTTGTGTCACTTGTCAACAAAGATGTCATTCAGTGCATAAAACTCCTATTCCACACCCTACTTCAGAGAATACTTTTTACCAGGTGTGCTGAGTCTTGATTTTTAACTGTCCAGGTGGAACACTGTTTGAAGATTTCTGGAATGAGAAGACAAATGGCACAACCCATCTCCATCACTGTTTCAACTGAATGATGTTTTTACATAACCATAACCAATACAAATCTACTACTACAGGGAAGTTTTTAATATGTGACATTTTAGTGTATTTTTCATCTTTGTTGGAAGCCGCCCAGAGTGGCTGGGGAAACCCAGCCAGATGGGCGGGGTACAAATAAATTATTATTATTATTATTATTATTATTATTATTATTATTATTACCCACACCAAAAAAATTACTCGAATATCATTTTATTCAAATAGATGAAGCACCTATCTTCTCCTGGGCTATATTGCTCAGGTCCTTGGGGTATAGGCTAATGGCAGCTGTTCCAGTGGCGTAGCTGCCTCAATATATTTGGGGGTATAGGATTGTTCATGGAGTTTTCTTGGCAGGGATACTGGAGTGGCTTGCCGGTTCATGCTCCAGGTGACAAACCTAGACAGCATCTTAAAAAGCAGAGACATCACCTCGCCAACAAAGGTCTGTATAGTTAAAGCCATGGTTTTCCCAGTAGTGATGTATGGAAGTGAGAGCTGGACTATAAAGAAGGCTGATCGCCAAAGAATTGATGCTTTTGAATTATGGTGCTGGAGGAGACTCTGGAGAGTCCCATGGACTGCAAGAAGATCAAACCTATCCATTCTGAAGAAAATCAACCCTGACTGCTCACTGGAAGGACAGATCCTGAAGCTGAGGCTCCAGTACTTTGGCCACCTCATGAGAAGAGAAGACTCCCTGGAAAAGACCCTGATGTTGGGAAAGATGGAGGGCACAAGGAGAAGGGGACGACAGGGGACGAGATGGTTGGACAGTGTTCTCGAAGCTACCAACATGAGTTTGACCAAACTGCGGGAGGCAGTGGAGGACAGAGGTGCCTGGCATGCTCTGGTCCATGGGTCACGAAGAGTCGGACACGACTAAATGATTAAACAACAAATAGGATTGTTCTACTACTTTCACCAAGCACGACTTAACCTTTTATTTTCCCAGCTTGGATGATCCTCCTACTAACTGCGTTCATGGCATTCAAACATGCAGACATCATGCCCATTATATTTGCAGAGCAGAGTGGGCATGTGAAGCAACCTTTCTGGGACTGTTCCACTGGGAACAGGTGGGATATTACCTGTCTATTTCCTCCCTGCACACTGAAAGTTCGCATCTCAGTGGGGAGAAAGAAGGCTCAGGCATTTTCCCTGACAAGCTACCTTACCATCTGCTGGGAGTGCATAGACATGCTATCTTGTACGTGGACATGAATTCCAATTTGGGAGAAAGGCAGGATGCAAATATATTAAAATGATAATAAGAAGAATCGACTTCCACATGCAGCCTGAAGTGGTACAGTGCCAGCGTTCTGTGTTTGCAGGGCCGGATTAAATGTTTTAGAGAAGGAAGTGTCCCAGAATTGCAGCCTTAGCTGCCTTAGGGGCAAGTTCCTTTGCAAGGCTACACCGCTGTAATTACTGTTTCTCTTTCATTAATTTATCTTACGGTAAAATGGAGCATTGAAAGAAAAAGAAAGGAAGCAAAAAGAGGAAACAGAAAATAAAAGTTCCACATCCAGCCCAGCTCTCAGCCCCTCAAAGTTCCAACATCTGGGGACCCTTCATCATTACGAAGGAACTGACCATCGTCATGGCAACTACATCATAAACCGTACTTTCCCGTTTATAAGGCAAGATTTTTGGTGTTATTGGTGGCTGCGGCAAGGGCTGGCGTGGATTTGCTGTCGCTGCGAAAAATTGGGCGGGCAATTGGCGGCTTCTGGTGGCGATGGGACAGCTTTTGGGATGTGTGCGAGTGGTAGCATAGCTCAGGCAGGTGAGCGATTTTTGTCAATCCCACCTTTAAAATGTTCAATAACCAATCCTTCCCCCCAAAAAAGCTCAACAACTCTCTGGGCAATCTTCACCCATTTTCCTAATGTTGAGTCCCCCAAAATACAGGGCATCTTATACACGGGGGCATCTTATACACGAAAAAATACGGTACCTTGGGTCACATGATTCCCTTCGCCCTCAGCTTGGCCAACAATTCACTTTGCCTTCCAATACAAAAGATTTTAGGTGTCTCCTGACTTACCTGGATTTTCTGAGATCCCCAGTCCCTGCTTCAGTAGTAGAGAAACAGAGGTTTCCTCCTTCTCATAGGAAGACTGCACACTGCTGGTGGAAATTGACTATTTAAGCATAAAACACACTGAGCCCCATGAGCTCTAACAATTACAGCCCACACCCTTACCAGTAACAAACAAAAAGCCTAAAGGTTTTCCTGTAATATTTTTGCAAAGCTGGTGATCACCAAAATTACTAAATTTTCACATTCCTTCCCTTAGGTTGTATTATAAGCATTTCCTGCTATGGCACAAGCAGAAAGCACACCGTTCACTTCCAAAAAATCAGAGAAAGAGACGGGAAGGAAGAAAAAAAGAACAGAGAAATGTGGAAAGGCAGGAAATTTGGGGAAATGAAAAAGGCGAGAGGAAGCAAGAAAAAAAACAGGTGCATTTAACTTTTTGTTGTTGTTTATTAAATTTGTATATTTCCCTTCAGCTGCAGATCTGAGGGTGGTTCACAGCATAGAACTACAAGGAAATTTAAGAATGTTTTCAAGTATGAGACAACAGCGGCAAGAGTCTTAATAGCACAAGGATGGAAGAATGAAGAAACCCCGACTAAAGAACTGTGGCAAGAGAAATCGATGGACTATGCGGAATTGGCGAAATTGACACACATACTGCGCAACAACGACAACTGTGACTTTAAAGAAGAATGGGAACCCTTTACAAAGTATTTCAAGAAACAACAAAATGAATTGGACTCCTTGGCAGGTTTTGAATTAACATACACAAATTTATTATTAATAACACATAGTAAAGGTAAAGGGACCCCTGACCATTAGGTCCAGTCGTGACCAACTCTGGGGTTGCAGCACTCATCTCGCTTTATTGGCCGAGGGAGCCGGCGTACAGCTTCTGGGTCGTGTGGCCAGCATGACTAAGCCGCTTCTGGTGAACCAGAGCAGCGCACGGAAACGCTGTTTACCTTCCCGCCGGAGTGGTACCTATTTATCTACTTGCACTTTGACGTGCTTTCGAACTGCTAGGTTTGCAGGAGCAGGGACTGAGGAACGGGAGCTCACCCCATCATGGGGATTCGAACCGTCAACCTTCTGATAGGCAAGTCCTAGGCTCTGTGGTTTAACCCACAGCGCCACCCGCGTCCCTTCATTAATAACACATAGATAGATAAATTAAGGATCTTTATAACTTTATAATCTGCAGAGAAGTATATGTATTGAAAAACCAGAGAGAGGACCTGAGGGAAGTCAGGGGAGGGGGGAGGGGTTATGGGAAGGGGGGAGGGGAAAAATAGGGGGGATTAAGGATGATATGTCTTTTGATGAAATGTTATGTTGAAATTCCTAATAAAAAACTTTAAAAAAAACACAGTAACATTAACAACCTTTAAAAAAAAAGAACTACGAGATAAAAAACAATATACACAATAAAAACAAGAATGGGGAGGAAGGGAATGCCCCCCAATTATTTGGGGGAAATAGGTTATCTACATTCCTTAAGCTATAGTTGGGTCTTATTACCTTCTCTGAGCCTCCACCCAAAATTATAACTTGTGATGAGGATTTGTCACAAAATGGCTATTATCCCTGTAAAATGTGTTGAAAGATTTTGTTTATAAGGACCGCTTCCCTTCCAGGAAGGCGGCAATTGCGGCCCATCACAACTCCTCGGTGAACAGGGGGTGGCCTCTTTGTCTTTCGTGCCTGGCCATTTGCCTTGGGTTCGGCCAGTCGCGGGGACGACCGGATAGCCCGCTAAATTCTAAATTTAAATTAGCCAATGGTAGTGTGGGTGTGATGTAGGGCTTCAGTGGCAGAAGGAAGGAACCCAGCTGCCCAGAGTGGATAATAATGGCCTTGACTCCTGTCCATCGCTGTGTTATTGGGAGCCAGTAGCGCAGTCAGAAACCCACCTTACAAATTGGAATTGCCCTCGAAGTAAGTGGGCAGTGTATATTGAGCACCTGAGATAATCAGACGCCATATTTGGGGGCCAGGAAGAATTTTGCCTTGGGACATGGGTGGCGCTGTGGTCTAAACCACAGAGCCTAGGGCTTGCCGATCAGAAGGTCGGCGGTTCGAATCCCCGCTATGGGGTGAGCTCCCGTTGCTCGGTCCCTGCTCCTGCCCACCTAGCAGTTCGAAAGCACATCAAGTGCAAGTAGATAAATAGGTACCACTCCAGCAGGAAGGTAAACGGCGTTTCCGTGTGCTGCTCTGGTTCACCAAAAGCGGCTTAGTCATGCTCTCCACATGACCCGGAAGCTGTACGCCGGCTCCCTCGGCCAATAAAGCGAGATGAGCACCGCAACCCCAGAGTCGGCCACGACTGGACCTAACGGTCAGGGGTCCCTTTACCTTTACCTTTAAGAATTTTGCCTGCAGACAAATTGACCCCATTTGGAGGTTTTGCCTTCCTCATAGCAATTGTCACAACTCTCAGCAGATGATGCATTAGGATGAATCCTGAGTCCAGTGGTTTTCAACCAGTGCGCCCTGGCACCCTGGGGTGCCTTGAATAATGATCAGGGGTGTCATGGGCAGGGCCGTCTTTAGCAGATGCGGCGCCAGGGTGCAAATATCGGCTCAGTGCCCCCAAATTACCACGGATAGTAGGGGATGTGAAGCTGCGCACTGCCAGCCATGGGGGGGTGTGCAACTCTCCCCCATGCCGCTGTGGCCTGGGAGGGAAACTGTGTGCCCACCAGCCATATAGTATATATATATATATATATATATATGCTTTCGTAGATTTTCACGGGTACAGGAATGCAGGTTTTGGTGTCCTCGGGTGTCTTCCCGTGTAAAAGTTGGGGTGTCTAGGCGACGTTTCGACGAGGTCTCACTAAATTGCTGAGAAATTGCTCTTTAACATGGAACATCACCACAAGAGAATAATCATGGAAGCCATCGAGATAGAGAAACACCCTCACAACATGAACAAGCGTGACGACACATCCCGCTTGCCAGACATCTGGAAATTAGCCCTCCCCACAAAAACCGACACCAGATCCAGAGGCACACAGAACGCCATCACCAATCAACCACACCAGACCCAAACCCAGACCCTCTCCACAGATAAATTACAGACACCATCCAGTAGCCAAACCATGGTGGAACCTCCGGATGCTGCACCCCCCTGCAATCCCTACACAGATCTGGCTGGCACAGGCCACAAAACCACAGCTCGCCCCTATACACGAAGCCAAGCCAGAGCCAAGTTCAAGCCAAGTTCAAGAGGTCAAGACACGAAGGCTTTAGCAACTAATCCACACCTAATGACCCACCCAAGTGGTACTCAGGATATCACTCAAGAAATCACTCCAGATATCCCTCCAGTAATTTAAGGAACAAAAGAAGAAAGGCACACTAGCCTGGGAACTTCCTCCCTGCCCAGAACATTGGAGGCTATACACCACACCTCCTCAACAGTATTTATAGGAACTCAAACACTGAGATCCTGCTCTGTTCCAGTAACAAG